CTAGGTGATCTTGGAGGTCTCTTCCAACCTAGACAATTCTGTGATTTAGTGATTCCTTTTGTTTTTGTTGTTATAAATGTCCCTGTACCAAGAGGCAGGATTTCTGTTCTTGGTCCGAAGTCATGTGCAAGTTGCTGAGCAGATCTGTGGGATTTGCACTGGTGAGTGATCACAGCTGTGCTCGCAAGCTCTCCTTGACAGCTTGATGACAGTATCCTTCCCATTCAAAACAAAGGCTCAGATCATACAAAATGTTTATTTCTTCTAAATGCCTGGAATGGGGGAAAGGGAGGGGCTGAGGGGAAGGAGAAAGCAGAACGCCTAATTTTTGAGTCACTGCATGCAGCAGCAGAGCCAAGTCTGCACTCTTCTGCTTTTTACTTTGGTTCGGCTTGCTCTGCCAAGCATGAGGAAGAGTCCAGAGAGAGAAGATGCTGGCAGGCAGGCACAGGGTACTTGGCGCAGGCCTCAGTTTCAAGTGCAAAACCGATCATTTTGCAAACACTCATCTCGGTTCTAATGCAACCAGTGGGACTGGGCCATGCAGTTACATTCAAACCTTTCCCTCTGAGCCTCAGCCAGTATTTCTAGCTCCATGCTGCCCACAGATCCAGTCCCAGGGTGTTTGGAAGGACAGAGCACTCTGGGCCATGCTACAGCAGGCCATAGGAATATTTTGCAAAACTTTACGTGCAGGAGTAATAGCGTGGGCCAAGTACACCCCGGTAGAATAACACAGGCGCTGTGATTACAGGCCAGGCTTTTAGCAGCATGCAGGTAAACAGTGCTTAGTGTTTTTTGTTTGTTTGTTTTTTAACAAATGGATGAAGTTCTCCATTGTTTCTGTTGAGTATCCGGTGTGGTCCTAGATGGTGGAGCAACTTCTTGTAGTATGCTGCTTTAACTCTGATATAAACAGCAGCCATGTTGGGGGTTGCAGAACAGCCCCCCTGTCGTGCAGGCTGCTGGTAACCAAACCGGTGTGTGCAAGCAAGGTTGTGCCTTTGGTGCAGCTGAACTGATCTCGATGCTGGAGTTATGTCCCTGCAAATTGTAACACCCTTCTCCATCAGCAACCAGGCAAAAGGCTATAGCTGCACAGGAGCTTTTCCCAAAGTTAAGGTTTTCCTTTTCCTTTCCCCCTTTTTTTTCCTTTTCCTTTTCCTTTTCCTTTTCCTTTTCCTTTTCCTTTTCCTTTTCCTTTTCCTTTTCCCTTTCCTTTTCCTTTTTCTTTCCACTGAACATTTTTTTCTTCCCCTCCAATTGATTCAAGGTGTTCCTTTCCGAGCAGCTTTGGAGTGGAAAGGCATGTGAGCCTTGCAGCTGTTTTGTGTATGTGTGGCTCTTCAAAACCAGCGTGATGCTGTTCTAGTAAATGCCTCTGTTTCTCTTCACTGGTTCATGAGAGCTGCAGTCCTGTGGACTCATTTAATTTCTTATGAGGCCGTGAGTTTCTCTTTCAGGTTCTTGGACTCCCTGCCTTTCCCTGCTGCAGGGAATGGTAGGGTGCTGGCTTAAACAGAACTCTTCTTGAACTCCAAGGCAGAAATTGGAATTTTAAATCTTTCCATAGGGTTTAAATAAATAAAAACTTTTCTTATGGAATAAAAAGGTGGACCTCTTTTGATGTCAACACACACATCTTTTTTTTTTTTTTTTTTTTTTTTTTTTGGCCACCTCATTACGAGAATACCTAGATAAGCTTTAAGTGAAACAATGAAGCAAAAGAGATGAGGAAAAGGCTTCTCTGAATGAAGACAACCTCCTTCTGGGAAATGGTTGATGAATAACAGATCAGAGGGAACCAAATGCTCCAGAGGAGTGAATCCACCTGTGGCTAGCTACAAATATTCTACCTCTGCTACCCTGACAGCATTAGCTGTAATTCAGAACTCTGCAAGAATCCCACCCTAAGAGTCAGATCCAGACGAGCACTGTCTGAAGAGCTGCTGAACTCAGCACCCTGTCTTTAAAATGTACAAGCCAAAAGAGATCTCTGGAGCTGGAGCATCTCCTGGGCTCAACAATAGGTCAGCAGGATCACACATTCAGGCTCAGTTTTGAAAAGTAATGACCCCAATTCTGCAGTACTCTCACTTCATAGGCCTGTATTTCTTATCCTGTATGATGTTTTATTAAAACACCTTGTGGGAATGGAAACCTCGTCCTGTGAGAGGACAGCATTAACATGAATTGTGTAAGTCTTTTTGATTTGTTTGGTATAAGCTAGGAAAAAACAAACATGCATAATATATAGTGAGAGGAAGAAAGGACCCGCTACTACCATACTTCTCCATGCTTCAGTTCTTTTCAATTTTAACGTGCTTTGGAACAAGAGGCCATAAATATGTGCATAATAATTACATTTAGGTGTGACTGAAGGACAGCAAGTGAGCAGCTAGAGAACTTAACCTTACACTGTACTGCAACAGCCATAGCAAGCAGGAAAGGTAAGTGTGAATTTCCTCTGCACGCAGTCTTTCCCTCTCTGTGAGTTCTTTGTGAATCTCTAGTAAAGAGAGGAGCTACAAAATGAGGCAGTCTTTTAAAACTGTGCAGTGCTCCTTGCAGTGATGCACCGGTGTTTGTGTAGGAATTATTTTACCAGCAGTTCAGAAGGGGGAGGGAGGAGTCCCCTATTACACACCATATTTCCTCACAGAAGAGAAAAATCAATCTGTTCTCATGAATAATATACAAAATTCTCAGAAAGATCTAAATTCAATACACTTAAGATATTGCCAGGGCTCTGGGCCTGAATGGCTGAAGACATGGCTGCAGAAAGGCATTTCTATTCAATTGCTGGAAAAAATCGGGTTGGACCTGACCAGAGGCCAGTTTATCTCTGTGGAAAGCTCCCACTGAACAACCAGTAGTCACTGGAATAAGAGAGATCTGGGGAGGGCGGAGAGCTGCTTCTTCCTACTTGTTCCAGGAGATGATGCAAAGCAGCTGCATGGGTGGGTTCTTGTGATTCTGCTTTTTTTTTTTTTTTTTTTCCCTGCAAATGAAGGAATGCTAGACTGCTAGACTTGTCCAAACCCAGAAACTGCCTGGTTTGACTCAAGAATTGATGTTACAGGGGTTTAATTAATTCTAAAAGCAGTTTAATGAGCAAAGGCCTTTAGCAATCAAATTAAAATGCAAACCTTGTTTACTCAGGTTGGGAGTTTAAACCTGCAAACCTGCTGTTAATTACCACCATATTATATCTGCTTTGCCACTCTTCCCTTGTACTTGCAAAACAAGATAACTAAGCTACAGGTTGCTATGAAAAGGCCATTTACAATAACAATACATTTTATTGTTTTCTGGATAACTGGCTAAATCAAAACTTATATGGTAAAATGTTGAATTTTTGCTTCTGTTGAACTTTTGTGCCTTTATCAGAAATATTGTTGATGATTCCATGGCTCTGTTTCTGATGTTTGCTTTTAATTTCTGTTTTATGATGTTGTAAAAGCATGGGAATATAAATCTAGCGTCACAGAGAAAATTGGTGGATTCCAGACTTTTCAAGTGTAGAGTTAGCTAATGTTTCTGCTGATTCCAAAACTAATTGCTTGTGATGGCAAATGAGGATTTCTTGGGCTCCTAAAATAGGTATATTGAGGTGATCCGCACTGAACTTGCTTTTGAGTGCTAGTTTTTAATTCTTATCTCTTTATGATTACTGAAATAAGTCAGTTGTCACTAGTGCTGTTCCCCAAGTAGTCAATCTTTTGTTTATCAATGGAAGATGTAATATAGCAAGTTAAAGTGATAGATCATTAATTTTTCCATACTAATTAAGAAAGAAACAGAGCTCTGTTACTTGTAGGTGATGAGTGTAGTGGGAAAGTATCTGTGCCATTATAGCAGACCTTGCAAAACTGCATTTTCTATGGATTTGTTCTGCATTTCCCAGCTCTGCAAATCTTCTGTAAACCCCTACAGACATACCTTTAGTTCCCTGCCTATCTCAGCAGTTCATACTTTCACCATGCAAGCACATACATGTGTATATCAAAAAAGCCACCCCAAAATGCATCCTCAACTGCCTTTCCTGAGCTTGCTGGCAGCATGTCGTACAGCTGGATAACTGCTGGTTGTTGCTCATGGTACATCTGGCTCATGCCAAGCACAGCTAAGCCGATCTGTTTTTCGTTTTTACCTCTGAGAGGGGGCAGGTAGAGAAGGAAGGAGTAGTTTCCTTTCTCTTCACAACTGCAGGTCTCCAAGGGGCTGAAGGTAGCAGAGAAATCCACTATTTAGAGCCTTATAGCAGACTGGATTGGAGTTGACCAACTCTATGAAATCTTTATGGTAGGAACAGGAGGAGGATGAGGCAGCATAGTAAGGCACACATTTTTCTTAGAAACCAAAAGAAGAAAACAATGCAATTCGCAAATGTTCTGCAATGCGCTGTCTCATTTAAAGTAGAACAACAGTTCCACCAAAATTTCCTGGCCATGCCATGGAATCACAAATCTGCCTTCAATGGATTTCTCTTCCAGCTGTTTTTCCCTCCTAGGTGCTCTTTCTAAAATAAGCTAACATTTCCAGAAATTAATAAAAAATAAAGAAAACCTCCCGTCTCAGTTTCCAAATCAGAGTATTTTGCAGGTGGCTTTAAGACTGAGTGTCCTTTGGTTCTGAATTTAAAGCTTCTTCCTTATCTTCAGGCTGCCAGATCTGTGAATAATGGACTTTTCTCCACCCTACTCCCCCATACTATAAACTTTTTTTAAAAGCTATTCAAAGAGACCTTGGCACATATTTCTCTATTAGGCAGTAATTGAATGAAGCCCCTAGTAGCTTGACACTATCCCATCCCTTTTCCCATGAGTTTTTTTGTATCCATTGCTTTTTGTCTATAAATAACAGAGAGAGCTGGAAAGGGAAACCTTTTTTGAAAGGTGATATGGTCATCTGGCAGCTGTCCAGAAAGGCCCTATTGGCTTGAAGTCAGTGCTGAACTTCCCTGAGAAAAAGCGAAGTCTGATGTCAGTTAAAAAAAAAAAAAGAAAATAGACCTCACTGTCTTGTGTTAGCTGTTTAAAGGGCAAGGAACAGAGACTATTTTATCTTGCTGCATGGGCAGACTTTAACACTACAGCTGAAAGCACTTTTCTATCCCTTTTACTCAGCAGAGATTATGTAGAGCTGTGGACAGCTGTTTAATATTACATAGACCACAGCCATGCAAAGCAGCAGCTAGAGCCCAAAACAGGTTTAGGATTTTCTTTATGTAATGATAGCCCCATGTAATGATGTGCTAGAATCAGAGACTTCTTGGGGCTCTGTATCTGTTGGGTCTAAGCTCACATCTTCCTGGAGATGCTAGAGCTGTGACTCCAGAGTCAAAATGGGAAGCCTGGTAAGCCAGGGGGTTTGTGGTGTTTACCTTTAGGATGGGTATTTTATGCTATTGTAACTGCTTCTGTGCTCACAAATAATACAACAGAAGACTTCTGTGCCTAGGTGCATACTGGAAAATACAAGTGAGTGTTGATTTAATGGTTGAAAATATTTTTGTATGAAAACACTTGGTCAATTTGCTGCTGCTGGGTATATTTCCTTGCCTGTGCCTAGGATTTGAAGATCTAGGGTCAGTAGCCAGCTCTGTCCAGCCAGGCATCCAAAAAACACTAATTCTCCCCCATGTTGTCCTGTTTTTTCCCTGGTTGCCTGAAACAGGTCGATCTAGTTAGTGATACTTCAGCATGTGTTAGAATCACAGCAATAACGTCTTCAAAGATTCTTGAGTTCAGAGGTTCTTAATTAGAGGGAAATGGCCACAATGACTTGGTGAAAATAGCTATCTTTCACTTTAAAATATTAAAGACAGAGTAACAAAGTTAATTATTGCTCAGTTGCTGGAATTTTTTCGCTCGTCTGCCCAGATACAGTGCAACGGTATAAGCACTCAAGCGGTTTATCTGTAAGTTAATGAATCTAATACCTTCTCTGATCTCTCTTTGTTACTTTGAGCTTACCTGGGGTTTACATTAACTATTCCCATAAATGACGTTTAATTATTTTGAAAAATATGAAAGGAGCAAATGACACAAATACTTTCCAAACTGTTCCCAGCCTGAAAATGATTTCATTTTTGTAGTTCAGGGGAGAACTTTTTTGTAGTAGGGGAGAGCTCACTTTAAACTTAAATAATTATTTATGCACTCCAGGAAATTAAATAAATAAATAAATAAATAAATAAATAAATAAAAGAGAGAGAAAGAAAAAACACTTAAAATCAAACACAAAACACTAACTCAGTCATTACACTGTATTAAGATTTGGGCACAGTCAGTAACCCTTGTTTAAACTTGAACTCCTCATTTACTGCCTCATATTAAAAACAGGACTCTGAAGCACAAATAAGGTAACACTAAGTGTCTGCATTCAAATCAAATCAGTTCTGCCATATGGCAATGTGTTGCCCAGCACCTTCAAACCCTTAATGGGTTCTGTAAAGCTTGCTTATAAATTCCCCTTCCATATAGCTTGCCCTGGCTACGAAGGCAGCATTACACCAGCTGCAGGTGTTTCTGTGTAGTCAAGGACCAGCATGCTGTGGAGGTTTTTTGATTGCAGGAGGTTTCTGATCACATCTAAATGGGATCAGCTTACGAAAACTACTACTGGAGAGCAAGAAGACCGTATGTCCTATGGCAACAGAAGGATCTGAGTCCAGCCCTGCTGTTGTTTGGAGTGTGATCCTGGCCAGCCAGAGCTATATGAGCTGCCATCTCTTTTCTTTCCCCTGTACCATCTTTTGGTTGTACCAAAGTAATTGTGCTGCGTTACTTACACCTTGAACACAGCAGTGAGATCTACCTTACAGATTTAAGGGTGGTTAGATACTAGAACAGAGGAGTTGTGGGTACCCCATCCCTGGCAGTGTCCAAGTCCAGGATAAATGGGGCTTTAAGTAACCTGGTCTAGTGGGAGGTTTTGGAATTAATTGATCTAGTAGAGTTAATTGGGTCTAGTGGAAGGGGTTGGAATTAGGTTCTTTAAGGTCCCTTCCAACCCGAACCATTTTATGATCACCTATACTGTATTTTCTCAAGGCATTTCTGGTTGCTCTGTGATAGAGGAAGGAGGAACAGAATTAAAGGGAGACAGAATATGGAAATAACAAGCTGGGATGAGAAGTATCTGGAGAAAGGTAGGTTCATCATTATGTCCAGATGGTAAAGATTTTGGGGAAATGGCTTAGTCTGCCATTTGGAGATTTACCACAATTTAAGGAGACTGACAGTAGTCATGGATAACTGCTGTGAATCTTCCTTAAAAGGAAGGATTCTATTCAGCAGAGGCTTCCCTAATGTATAAACATAGTTTTTCATGATTTTGAAATTGCTGCTGCTTCCTCCTTTCTGGTTAATATCATCACCAAAATTCCCCAAGAAACATTTCCCAAAGAAGGATTATCCACTTGGTTTCTGCCAATTGTTTTAATTCTTTCAAATGAGCAGATAACTCCTTGGTCAAGTGGAGCATTTAGAAATACTGGTGAAGTATATGATTCATCAGGTGGTGAAATCTGGTTTTCTTAGTTGCTGTTAGGCAATAAAAGGTGACTACAAAAGCTTTGTAACCAAATCTCCGGTCACTGATAAGCAAATAATGCAAGGCCAGGGAATTAGTGGAGTTTTAGACAGTCTTTTCCTGGAGAGATAAGGAAATAGATTTCTTTGTTAAAGCTGGTATGGCTCAGGGTTTTGTAATCATGCATGATGCTGCAAGAACAATGCTGAGACATAGTTTCATTTTAGGAACGCAGAGCTCTGGCTGCTAAATAACAGTTGGAGGCTAGAGCCAGCAGTTTTTTATAATAGAAAAGGGAACAAGAATAAGTCACAATTCCTGCAACTTCCCAGAAAACATGTAGAGTGAAACCCTTAACAGAGAAGCTGTCCTTTGCGTAAAGCAATGCCTCGATAGGAACATTCCCTTTAATGCTATTTGGACTTAAGCAATCCCTGTCCAGGAAAAGAGCAGGTTTATCTGCTTGCTTTTGAGGCTGAGCTCAGTCTAGGCATTAGGACTTGGAGGGGAGAAAGGTTCCTATGTCTCACAAGGTAATATAAAATTCTGTGTGTGTTGGAGACTGCCTTGGGATCCTCCCAGCCCCGATAATCTTCTGTCTCTTGAAGGGTGAATTTTCCTTCTCTTGCCTGGGCTCTGACTGCACTTTAGAAGCCACGCGGATGCTCACAAGGTATAATTTCACTATCTGATGTGTGCATTGGCTACAGGTTAGGTGGAGACAAATGAGGGAATTAATTCTGGGGCAGGGGCCAATTTTCTTCTCTATTTCCCTGTCTATTTTCAATATTAGAAAGAAGACAACAGAAATGACAGACCATAAGGCAAAGGATGTTTCCCAGGTACTTCTTTAGGAGAGAGAGAGAGAGAGAAAGAAAAACTGTGCCGGAAAGACTACTGGAGAGTGAAAAACATGAGTCAGTTCAGAACATATAAAATTTATATATATTTATATATATATATATGTATATACTGCTCTCACTTCTTCTGAGAAAGCATTTTAGTAAATGATGACTAGAGGGAAACTTATGCAAGAAGGCAGCAAGCATTCAGAGGGCAGTAGGACATGACAGATGACCAGGAAACCAGGAAGCTCAGAAAAAGCTACTGAGAAAGGCTCTGATGGGACTTCCAGTAGCTTCTCAAAGAAAGCTCATCCAGCATACCACAGCCTAGCTGAACTGTGCACTGATGGAGCAAAATACCAATGAGGAAACATTAACTAGATACTACTTCGGTGAATTTAAATTGGAAGAACATTCTCAGACTGGTATTTTGGTGGTAAATAATGAGTAAGACTGGAGTCTGTGAGAGGCATGACAACATCCCCCAACTCTCTGAATGTGTGTGCTGTCTCGTATACAGCATACTTACTTTCTTCCCATGATTAAGGCAAGTACAGAGAAGAAATATTTATCACAAATTTTGTGATAAATCTGTTGAACAAATTTCCAGGTCAAAAGGTTGTGTTTCTTGGGAGCTGCACAGCAGCAGGTAGAGCAGGGACCTCAGGGGTAAGGAAATATTCCTTGATCATAAACACTGACCGAGATTTTTCACACACGCTGAGATAATGAGAAATCCATCTTGACCACATGTGTTCCTAAGGAAGTTTGTGCCAGCATGCAATAAACTGAAATTGGTGTTTTCCACTGAAAACTTAAGTGAACCTGGACTAACCAACTGCAAGAACTTGGCCTCTTGGCCTACTCCAGAAAATTTGTTGGCTTTAGTGACTGAACCAAAAGGCACAGGGATGCCTAATTTCACTTAAAATCAGAACATAATTTTTTAAATGGAAACAACAAGAAGAAGCTATTTGTTTCAGACTGAAATTTTTTAATCTTTAAAAATCTAAATACATTTTAATAGAAAAGTTCTGTTTCAAAATGTTTTTAAGCAAACCTCTTCCTGTGGGGAGTGTCTTTTGGGGGAAAAAACAGTAAAACTGATACATGTAAACTACAAAGCGATGTCAGTGAGCAGCTTGCTGCACACTATATCTTGTTGTAAACTCAGTAAAACTCCTTTCTCTCTTTGGACCATTTATCAGGATGGAGCCTTTCCGCATGTCAGCAGAGGCTTAGCTGCTTCTATTTAAGTCCACAGAAAAGTGCCTATTCTAGTTTTAGCCTCAGTTATGCTAAATGCTCTTATGGTGTCCGAGTCAAGTCCTGTGAAATCAATGGGAGTTATTTCCTCCTGACATACTGGGAGCTGCGATATCTCAGTCAAGAAACCAGTGCAAACTGTGTAGTTCAGTAGTTCACTCTAGGCTTAGCTTTATACGGTTTGGGATGAGCTGTGCTGACTGTAATGCATCACCATGTGTGTATCCCCCACACAGATGGATTCTGTAGAGCCTACGTCAATTTTTGGGTTCAGCACACTGCACAGTAAGTTAGCATGAGCTAAGGTTCATGAGAATGTTCCTCTGTGGACATGTGGCACAGTGGCTTGGTGGTCCTCTGACTACTGTCTCACACACTATGGCTAGTCTATTAATTTTAATTACTTGCCTCAAAACCGATCAGTATCTGCCTCTCTCTCTTCATTTAGTCCTTGATTGAGTCATTGATTAAAAAAAGCCTAGGAGACTGTTCAGACAACTGCAAAAAGCCTCTTTTAATAAAGTGCCTATCACTTTGATCAGAAAGAAAGTGTTCTGATCAGACAAGGAGATGCTGTATTCACAGCCAGCTGCCACTCCACTGCTTCCTGGGGCCACCCAGCAGCCTCTGAAAGAGCTCTCCCTTCCCAAGGAACTATTTTTACTGCAGAGAAGAATGTTTCTGGGTTAAGGATACTAGTAGTTGAATGAAATTCCCCTGGAAGATAGTGCAGGCTTGTTACCCACTTAGAGATAGCTGTAAGATATCTAGATTTACGGAGTTTGGCTTCTCAGCCTGAGCAGATATGTATTTTAAACTGAGTTCATTCTGAAAATGATTACACTTCTTGGCTCTCTATGCTGTTTTGGGGAGAAGTTTCCTGAGAAGCTTGATAGAAACTTTGGCGGCACTGTACAATCAAGATACAGAATAGTTTGTTTGTAGTCTAATAATTATGATGTGTGTCAACACTTACATGCATCTGCTCTCCTGGGATTGTGTTGTGTAGGCGTTGCCGTCCTGTTTAAATAATGACCAGAACAGGCTAAATACAGGTGCTTTTTCCTGTAATTAGCAGTGTTATGTCATATTTATCTGGGTACATGCAGGGCAGGGTATGTTACCAGGCAGCCTGCCATAAATGTTGGAGAACAGAGCAGAGAAACAAAGTGTGTGATGCAACTCTCAGGATCCAAAGCTAAGTCTGCACAGGGAAGGAAAAGGCTTTTTTTTTTTTTTTTTTTTTTTAAGAATTTAATGACCCATTGCTGAAAAAATTGTCATGTGGAACCACCCCAAGGATGCCCGACAGTATGAGATTGAAAGTGGCAGAACATTCATAGTTACCAAAACATGTCCAAAATAATGTCATTTATATACTCCATTAACGGTTAATTGAAATAAATGCTAACTGTACCATACAAAAATATTTGGGCTCTGTCATTTCTGGAAACATCTGCTATATAGCAGTTATTTGGGAAATTAAAGCAGCCCACAATGAATTGGTTCCTCACGATATCTCTGTATCTCTCTGATAAGAGAGATCTCTGCCCATAGCAAACCGGGAGGTGTATAACACTCTCAGTGCTTTCCGTTAGATCTACCTTTATAGACTTGAAGTAACTTTGTCTCAGGCAACCTTGGTTTATTCTTATTATTTACAGTTCGTGATGTCACTGAAGTGAGCTCTTTTCCACTGGGAAGAAGAAATTTCACTGCAATTCAGACATGTTCCTAACATAGCGATCTACAGCAAATTCAGAGGTGCCAAGCCCTGCCAGCCCAAGATTTCAACCAGTAAGTGTGTTTCTTGCTACATATTACACTGAATTCTACTGTAAGTGGTGTGAAATGTGACTCACTAGTCTTTCATGTCTCCTGGGTGCTGGATGCTGCCCTCTTGTTAAAATAGCTGCCCTTCTGAATGCTTCCTTCATGCACTAACAATGGAAGTCATACAAGCTAGGCATTTTGGGTTGTAAAACAGTCTGTTGCAATGGGAATTGAAAAATCTACTAGTCCCAGCCATGCCATTCACTCGTGGATTTTCTGTTCCTTGTCTTTAAGACAGTTTTATGCTGTGCTATATAGAAAGGTGATTGTTATGGATGACAAAGTAAATACGTATGTAAATAAGATGTTTACATGCAAACAGGAAATTGTTTTCAGTATCTGCTGCTTTGTGGTCTTGGATCCAGCCCTTGGCAGTAAGACAACTGTTTTAATAGTGAATTGAAAACAGCTCAGATTGCTATTCTTTTGTTTATGGACTTCTATTTGTACACGAAAATTAGCTTTTAAGTTCATGGAGAAACAGTTTCACTACATGGTTCTAGTTAAGAGAAATTTGTTCAGACTTGATGGAATTTGAATGAAAGAATTCTTTGCTTAGAATATGTATAAGTTTGGATATTAGGTTTACAACTGCTGATAATCAGATTAGGCAAAGGAATGTTTGTGCCAGTGTTACTGGTGACATCTTTCTCACAGTCACAGGATGGCTGAGGTTGGAAATGACCTTTGGAGGCCATCTGCTCCAAACCCCTGTCCCAGCAGGGCCACCCTGAGCAGGGGGCCCAGGCCTGTGTCCTGGTGGCTTTGGAAGACCTCCAAGGAGGAGACTCCACAGCCTCTGTGGGTAACCTGGGCCAGGGCTCCAGCACCTGCACAGCACAGAAGTCCCTCCTGGTGCTCAGAGGGAGCCTCCTGTGCTCTGGTTTGTGCCCACTACCTCTGGGCCTGGCCCTTGGCACCGCTGAGCAGAGCCTGGCTCTGTCCTCTGTGTACCCTGCCTTCAGGGATTTGCAGACATCGGTGAGATCCCCCGAGTATAGTCTTCTCCAGGCTGAGCAGGCCCAGCTCAGTCAGCCTCTCCTCACTGGAGAGATTCTCTGGTCCCTCCATCATTTTTGTGGCCTTATGTTGGACTCTGTCCTGTATGCCCAGATCTCTCTCATACTGGGGGGCACAGGACCCAGGTGTGGCCTCACCAGTGCTGAGCAGAGAGGAAGGATCACCTCCTTCCAACTGTGGGCAACACTTCATCTAATGTAGCCCAGAAGTCTATTCACTTTCTTTGTGGCAAGGGCATGTTGCTGGCTCATGTTCAACTTGGTGTCCACCAGGACTCCCAGGTCTTTTTCTGACAGGCTGCTTTCCAGATGGGTGGCCCCCAGGTACAGGTACATGGGGTCATTCTTCTCCAGGTACAGGATTTTGCAACTTCTCTTTGTTGAACATCATGAGTTTCCTGTCAGTTCATTTCTCCAGGTCCCTCTGGATTGCAGCATAACCCTCTGTCATGTCAACCACTTCTCCCAATTTTGTGTGATCTCTGAACTTGCTGAGGGTACACTCTAACCCCTCATCCAGACCATTAATGATAGACATGATGGACGTTAATGTCCATCATTAATGATGGGCCTTCATGATGGACAGGACTGGACCCCTTATTGATCCCTGGGGTACACTGCTAGTTGCTGGCCTCCAACTAGACTTTCTCCACTGCCCACTACTCTCTAACACCAGCTATTCAGACAATTTAAGTCCACCTCACTGTCCACCTGCCCAGCCCACACATTAGCAGCTTGTCTATGTGGATCTTGTGGGGGATGTGTGCCAAGAACCTTACCAAAGTCCAGGTAGACAGGATCTGCTGCTCTCCCCTCATCTCCCAGCCAGTCATTTCATCACAGAAGCTTATCAGTTTGGTGAAGCGTGACTACTCCTTGGGAGGTTCTTACACACTGCATTTCTTTGAACAACTGTTAAAGCTTGATAAGATATAAGTGATGTTACTATTGGCAGGAGACAGGGAACAGAGATTACTTTCTGCTTAGGAATCCGAAGGCTGATCCTGACTGACATGATCTTGTGGGAACCAGGCATGTTCGCTAGGCTGGATTTCTCGAAAGGGGATATTCAGGTGCTTGTGTAAGATGTAATCTATATACGTTAGTAAAATAGATTGTACTTTTTAGTTTTTGTCATGCATATGACAACTTTTTCTGTAGTAAATACAAGCTAAATTCTGAAGCTGTGACTTCTACAGCTTCCCATGCTGGCATCGCTGGTGCCAGAAAGTGCCATGGTCTCTAAAGAAAAAAGGGATTTTATGGCTGTATCCTCTAGGTGAGGAAACAAAGCATCAAAGAGTTTAGAAACCTCTGGGAATCAAAGAGCTTTTGATCAGCTTTCCTGCAGGAGGCAGCATTTTTCTCCTTGCAGTGTCTTAACAAGAGATACTTTGTGTCCTTTGCTATTTTGCATTAGCAATCACTGCTGCCTTTGGGTGCTTGCCCCTGTGCCACCTGCACAGCCACAGTGAGCTCCATCACTCTGGTGTCTTCATCTTCCACTTCCCCTTTCCCTTTTGCATGCTTATCATGTCAGAGAGCTTCTGCCTTGGTTACGTGTTAATAAGACCACATTTCTATTAAAACCACTGCTGGTTTTTAAGAAGTACTTGAACAAACCATAGAAAATCATAATCACTTCTTGGAAATGAGAATGAATTACAGAAATGCCTTGGGTTCAGTGGCCTACAGGTGTGCTGCAGCTTGTCATGTTTTACAACGTTCCTTATTATTGTTTCCCTTATGGAAGCCCAAATGTGTAACTAGAAACATTTCTTCATAAATTAAACTCTCTTAATGAAAGGGTGAGAATTTAGTGGAGACATTTTATTTTTATTTGACATCCTCCAAAAAGTTAATGTTCTCTGCATCTAAACTTGGACTATGAGGTAAGATGTGGAGACGTACAGAGAAAAATGAGGTGCAGTAACACAATTCTCCCCTAAGCTAAATAGTTCCACCTGAAAGCAACCTCAGAAACAGGTTTTTCATCACAGCAGTGCATTGTGCTGTGAAAACCATCCTAAATCCATAATGCCATACTTCTGTGCAACGATTTCACCTGAAAAGAACTTGCCTTGCAGATGAGAAATGGAAAATTAGATCAGCATGGTTTCAAAGACTTGGCAAATCTAACTGGAGAGAGGTCAGGTTAACAGAAATCTGGTGAGCAGGGAAATACTTAGGATAACAGTAAAAAGTAGTGTTAAAGATGATTGAACATCAGGACCCTTAGGATTCTATTACAGCCCTACCTGGGCACCGGCTCTTGGGGGGATCATTCTGTTTCACATTTTGCATCTTCGATACCTGGCTAAAAGTGTTCATATTCACAGGGGCATGTTCAGGCATAAACCAAGCAGTTATCTAAAGCAGTGGACTAATGGGACAGCAAAATTATGCTTTCATGTGTATCTCTCTCTCCAAGGGAAAGGGGACCATCCCAGCTTCTGGAGGGAGAAAAAATGTTGGGCATGGACAGACCCAGCAGTGACGAGGAGGATGGGCTGCAGAGAAAGTACATTTGTCTTGATTTCTCTCGAGCTTCCCGGTGATGCTGTGCTGGCCATGTGGTTGGTACTGGGAAGGGCAAGGACAAGGCTGGGCACACAGGCAGCAGCGACCTCTCCAGGGGCTGGAATATGGCTCTGTGCTGGCACCCTCAGCTTCCAGGGAAGACTAGGCCTCTCAGGGTGTTTCTCAAGTGCTGCCAAATCCCTGCCCATGATCAGGTGTGGTATTTAATGGGATTTAATTAGCAGGTGCCAAGGAATTTAGCTCCCATGGTGAAAAGTAGTAGTATGCTCGTTCAAAACATAAAATACTTACTTGAATTTTATAGGTATTTATACAACACTTTTTGAGACACATACATCTGTCTGTGCAGTGACTAGTGGTTTATTGTGGTATGTGTAGGATGAGCCATGATGTCTGTGTCTGTATCAAGAGTTACTGAAGGCCTATGGCTGAGTCTTTACCCCCAAAACTGAGGATATGTGACAGCTTAATTAAGAAAAATAAACAAGCTGGTGGAGGAGAAATCTGACGAATGGCAACAGGAGGCTTGGAATAAAAATGCTGAACCAAGAGCAAATTCTGGGCTTTCATTGTGAGCTTTCTCTGTGCTTGGTAGGCTTTGGAAGAACAAAAGTAAAATTATTTCTGGTTTGCTACATTGCACTAACTTGGGAAGGAGCAAGAAATGGTGCAGTAGTCTCCTCCCTACTACCTGTCCGTCAGGAAAGACTCGATGCCAATCTCACTAAGGGAAGCTATAGAGCACAAGTGCCAAGCTGAACAAAAATCACACAGTGGAGCTTCTGATTCCTGTCCTGCTCCTCTCAACATCTAGCTCTGGCCAAGATGCTGATTTTACCCGCTGACCGCAAATAACAGTAGGAGCAATGCGCTGGTGGTCCTCTGCCATGCTCAGTCCCAGAAGACTGTAGCCTCTCCCTTATTCTTCACAAGCATTTTTGTGCACTCCAAACGTCATCCATGGGAATGAAAACAGCCCAAATTCAGGTGCTGTGAGCAAGAATGACTTGGGGGGGGAGGGGAAAGAGGAACAACACTCGCTTAGATCTCTTTGTGTGTCTTATCTAGTCAGCTAAATCCTTCTTGTGGGGAGAAAGTAGGACTTCAGCATTTTCCCCCAAAATGCCGGCACAAATCTCCTCCAGTCACATGAATGAAATAGCTTGATGGTGATGGAGATCCCAGCTGCTTCAGGATTTTCTCTTGGGTAGGAAAGGACTTGCAAAACAGTCATGTTACTGCAGGGCTGCCTTATGTCAGGAGCAGAGAAGAACTCAGTGTTCGTCCTGGCATAACAATGACTTGGCATGGGCTCAGCAGCTTTGTTTCTGGGGCCAGCATGCAAGCTCAGGAGGAAAAACAGCTAGACAGCTGCTCCAAGTGCTGTAGGGTGGTTTCTTTTTA